AAAAATCACTGTAGCTTGTTTTAATTCATATTATTTTGAATCATTACATTTATTGACTAATAAATGTCTGGGGCTGCTCTGCTGGCTAAGAAAATGTTGCTGCGCCAGGAATCCCATCCCCACCTGCCTGTACTGAAGGTGGTTGTGTTTGTTGTGTGCTGTGCTATCAGGCTGCATCCAACCGTTGGGAACCCAAAAAGGCTTTCAAGGTATGTAAGATACTGTATTTAAGGAGTGATTATACAAGTGTCCCTACCCCTTATTGAGCTTCCATGGCTGAGCAGGAATTTGAACCCAGGTCTCCCGAGTCATTGTCCATCACTAAGCCAGCCACTACACCACCACTGCCTCTTGTCCTGAAGGGCCAAGAGGCAAATTACTGAGATGAATGCAAAGCCTCTAGAAGATATTTCCTTGCATTCAGATTGCTTCAGTTTTTGGATCTAGTCAACCTACCTACATATGCATAAGAAACAAGTCTGTAATTTTTTATTAAGCGGTCCATGAACATATGTTTAAAATAAACAGTTCGAAATCACACAGCTGTGCTTCAGTTGTTATTTCCTCTCCCCCAATACTGTCCATTCCATTGCTTGGATGACTACAATGTGTCACATGTACAGCAGTGAAAAGAAATCGACACATAGACATTGGAAAAAAGCAAACATGTCAAAAATATTCATAGGAAGCTGCCATCTGTATGCCACATGTTCAGATTCTGAAAGAGCTGTAAAATCTTCAGCCCACTAAATAATAGGGCACTCATCTTTCCAATGGTGTTTCAAAATAAATATGTCTTTTAACCACAGTAAAGTTTGTCTTTCTTTGTATTATTTTTGCATAATAAGCTATATATGAAACATATGTGTTATATTTGGAGCTGCCCTTGAAGGTAACTTGGAAGCATTAATCAGTATAGAATTCAGTTGCCAGGATTTGAAGTAGTACCATCGGATTTATTCATATAGGAATTTTAAGAGGATTCCACTGGCTGACAATGCACTTCCAATCCCTATTCAAGGTGCTGATACTTCCAAGCCCTAAATAGGATGCCAGTATTGGAAAGAAGTCATCTTTGTACAGTATAACAAAAGTGAGCCCCATGGCACGGTGGTTAAACTGCAGTATTGCAGCCAAATTTCTGCTCATGACTTGAGTTCAGTCTTGATGGATTCAGGTAACTGGCTCAAAGCTGAATCAGCCAGCCAGCCTTTCAAGGTCAGTAAATTGAGTACCCATCTCACTGGGGGAGCAAAATGTTCCTTGCATAATTATCTTGTAATCTGACCAGAGAGTCCTCTAAAGCACTATGGGTTGATATATAAATCAAAACAACAACAAAGTCTTGAGATCTTTACACATATTTTTCTTCAAGTGTTTTCTTAATAAGATGACACCACAAATTTCAAACACCCACTCTAATGAAATATGTTGGAGAAACCCCCCCCTTATTATGCATGCAATATAAAGTTATAAAATCATGTAATTACGTGCCAGATTCCAATGGGCCAGAGTAATCTAATCCATGAAAAAATAGTGTTTGCAGGTTACAAATAATTAGCTCCCTTAAATTACCAAGTTAAAGAGTTTTAGAATATCAGTTGTTACAACTTACATTTTGGAAGAATCAGGGCTACAGAAAATGTCCATCCTCAAAGCATACAAATATTCACCATTCAGGTGTCACAAATGTCCTGGATACAAAAGGTGTGTGTGTGTGTATTAAATAGACCTTTTAAATATATACAGTATATTTAAAATACAGTATATATTTAAAAGGTCTATTTAACACTCATCTTTGTTTTATCTTTCAGTAACAACAAAAGGCCTTTGGAATCCATGGGAAGTGTCAGAGAGACCAAATACAATTAATTGACAATAAAGGAAACTGCTTCCTTTAAGTGCACGGGGCTTTTGTATAGCCCTACAAGGCTTCCATTTTGATTCTGTGTCTTTTACAGCCTTGATGTTCGTTCTGTGAACATTTGAACATCGCAGAGAGACTGCCATGCTACTTCTCAGGTCAACTGTCCCACTGTGGTTTCTCACTGGATTCCAGGTCAAGTATATGCAAAGGGCAAATAACATTCTGCTAGGTTGACTTTTGTTTAGCCTTCTCTCTTTCTCTCTCTCTCTCTCCGTCTGTCTGCGGCTCTGTGACAAAAATGGCATGAGGCTTAGGAGGGTGTTCTGTGTGCGCAGGCGCATGTATATTAAATAATTCATGTTCAAACACATGTGAACTTCTGATCCCACACATCGTGCAGCGGCCTGGAAGCCTGGCAGAAGTTCAACGCTGAGATGCTACCCATGTATCCACTACAGGAAAATCGCCCCACCTTCCCATTAGAGACTGTGCGACATTCAGCCCAAATAACGTCCATGGTAATAACAGCCGCTGCCGGCATCGTATCTGTGTGAGAGCACCGCGGAAGGGAACTGCATTTCCACGGTGCCTTCCACCCTCTAAAGTGGTTGTCCTTTATTCAAAACTTCCCTCTCCGCTGTCATTATCCGATTTGAACAAGCCGCTAATCTCCATGCGTTTTCCCTTTCCCCGTTCATCATTGCCCTGATTGCTGTTAGGATTGTTACTTAGCTCCACACTTACTTTCAGAACGAGAGATAGAGCACATCTGTCTGGAGCAGGCAGGCAAGGAAGTGCCTCCTAGTGGTTGTCCTTTATTCAAAACTTCCCTCTCCGCTGTCATTATCCGATTTGAACAAGCCGCTAATCTCCATGCGTTTTCCCTTTCCCCGTTCATCATTGCCCTGATTGCTGTTAGGATTGTTACTTAGCTCCACACTTACTTTCAGAACGAGAGATAGAGCACATCTGTCTGGAGCAGGCAGGCAAGGAAGTGCCTCCTCCCCCCCCCGCCACCCTCCTCA